TCATTTCAATTCTGATATATGACATTTTAGTAAAGTCACTTGACATTAAAAAAAAAAAAAAAGCTGCATGTACACTGAGGGTTTTGGAATTAAAAAAATAAAAATCTATTACCGGCATAAAATCTGAGTATTTGGATTTTATAATTTAAAAAAGCAAAGTCTAACATAACTCCAAACACTAGCCAAATCAGAACTGGCCAAGCACAAGAACACTGTACAATATATTTTATAGGATGTTTTTGTGTACAAGAATGACTATAGAATTAAGTTATCTTATTTCTGGCAGTTTTCTCCCATAAAGAGTAACAGTCACTGCTAACAGAGATGCTTGCAAACTTACCAGAAATAATTTTTTGACAATATTCTAGCCTTCAAACGGTGGCTGTCAAGTTCTTACTGAAGAATCTACAGTGTTAATCAATGTACTGTATTTCATTTGTAGTAAGCCTTTGCGATAAGGTTAGCACTCAACATACAACACAAGTAAGAGAGGACCAAAAAATGAAAATTACTTTGCTTATGTTTCCGTATTAGAATTTTATTTGCTGAAGGGTAAAAGCAGATTTGCAAAATTCACAGTTAACTTAAAACAATAGTTTTAAACCTTTTATTCCGAGCCCTTACTGCCTTCAGGAAGGAAAGAACATCTGGTTATTTAAGGAACACAATATGTTCACATTCTCTATGACTTTTGTTTCTAATTGGGTTTTTAATTTTTTTTTGGAATTTGAACAACTAGTTAGAACAATGTTTTTTAATCCCTTCATATTTTTCAGACTGCCCTCCCTCCATCCCTCCACTTCATTTAGTGGATTGTTTTTGGAAATCTGCTCAGTGATTCTAGTATAACAAAAGACAGGGAAACAAGCATGGAGACTGTGGTCTGAAGAGCTATGTATAGAAACCATATTGGAAGGTGAGCAGAGGAGAGAACGCTACAGATCTCTGATATCCAGTCTCTTCACACGTTTAAAAACACTTCAAGGGGTTCCTGGGTCACTTTACGAACAGGTCAGTTTCACTTACTACAGATGCAAACAATACCTACTACTATAAATAAAAGAATCTATAGGAGAAGTCTCAGTAACTAAGGTTCTACCATCTTTAAAACTAACACAAGCTACATCCCTCAGGCGGGAAGGAGGCTGAAGACCTGGCTTCTGCCCCCGACCTGCCCTGATGAGCTGTGTGGCCTTGCGTGCGCCTCTCAGCTCCGCTCTGACCGTCAGCGTGCTCACCCGCAGGAGGAGGAGGGGCGCCAGGCTCTGGAATTCTCACAGTCTAAGTGAAGTACGCTAACTGGATTCTTTGTTATGTCTGCTTTGTTTCATGGTGTTTGAGGGCAGTAACAGGTTTTCAAATAATTCTGTCTGATAGCAAACTAAGGAACTAGATGTCCTTTAAGTTCAAACTCGAGGGTCTCTTCACCATCTTGATAAAAAATGGCAGCTGACAAATAATCCACTGACCATGGTTTCTGTGGAATGTGGATACGGCGAAGTGAGGCGAAAACAGGTGAGGTGAGTGAGATCCACCCAGATTAGAGTCAGTATTTAATTTACTATTGTTTTCTTAAGATCAACCACTGCAGGACACAAGGCTAAAGCTATTAAATGAGAGGATCATGAGGAGAGATAGCCGATAAAAGAGGCAAGCAAATCGCTAACCTGTGATTTAGTGATTAAACAAATCGCTAAACTAAGGTGCTGAGGGGACTCAGAGGGAAAACACCTGCTCGTCTGAGCCTGGAACGACTTCCTGGAGAAGGGAGAGCAGACGCTGGGACTCTCAGGAGCGGGTGAGCAGAAGCAGGGCCTGGAACCTTTCTAGCTGGTCTGGACGCATGCATGCAGCTTGGCCTGGGGAAAGCCACATGGCCTTGATCCTTTGCACTGAAAAAGGAAGAGGAGAGAGAGCCCGCTCTGCCCGTCTCGGAGCCTGGAGTGACGACCAAACCAAGCAAGGCAGAGGGCGTGGAGACGGGGAGTGTGAGCCTGTGACCAGTTTACAGGCCCATCACCTCAGTCTGCTCCGCTGAGCAGCAGTTGCCCAGCAAGGCCAAATCTGATGGCAAACGAGTAACAGCCCAGTGCCTCGAGCTCTCCTACAGTCTGTCCTCATCTGAGCAGGCTCCACTGGGACTGAGGGCTGGCGGGGGGCGAAGCGCTGCTCTGCAGGCTGACGATGAACTAGGGAGGCCCAGCGCCTCGTTCACGTCCACCTTACTGTGTCTGTCAGCAGCCCTAAGCACAGCTGCCTGGTGAAGCCGGGACATGGGAAAGCAAACGCCCAGGCTTCAAATCTCCGCTTTCTACTAGTTTACAGAGATCTGCCTGTGTGTATGCACTCACTCTGATTTAAGTGTTTCACTGCTGCCGGTACACAGGAAACACTTAAAGCACTCTGATGGCTGGATCTTCAGAGGATGGGGGTGATGGCTGGATCTTCAGAGGATGGGGGTGGGGTACTAGCGATACCTTTTCCTTCCTCTCTATTCCCTCCCAGTGTCCACGGCCTCCTCTATGAGTTCAGAATTGAGAATTGACATGAACTACATATCCGCTTGGGGAGTTTTAGAATATACGTGTAAACTTTTTTTTCCCCCCACTTGTGTTTTCGATCTTATTGTATCATTAGAAGTCAGTTCTTTATGGTCAAAGGTTGCTCTGCTTGGGTGGGTTATCAGAGGCAAAGTAATTCAACACAAGAGACGACGAAGACTCAGGAAGAGTGGATTTCACCAGATGACAGGATGTTTGGTGGGAGAGTCAAGACTTGAACCAGTGTCTGGATTTCTAGCTCAGGCTCCTGGGTAGACCCAGGACCCCTCACTGCGACAGACCTCCAGCTGGCACTACTGCAGAGTAATGTTAGTTACATTTGACATTTACTAACAAAGTCAGTGGGTCAGCATTACAAACACTTTACTAAACTCCTGCCTCGCTGAGATGGCTATCTGAAACCACCTTAAAATGCTGCAGCTGTCTTTATTTTCCCTTACAGATGTCACCATGCCATGACTTGTTCTCAAAAGCTTTTTAAACGTGACTCCTGCCTTCTGCCCAGGTTCTCAACTCTCAGAAATACCAGTTTAAGGTCCTAACTTTTGGACACTTACCTTAATTGCTTTTACTTGGTAAGACCCTGAAGGTAAAAGTGAGCAATACTGTTTTTTAGATCCCTTTTATGCTATTGTTTTTCTTTTTTTCGTTTTAAACCTTAGAGAAGAATTTAATGCTTGTAGAAGTGGTTTCATTATTCTCTCTCTCCCCCTCTCTATGTGTACACACACACACACACACACACACACACACACACACACACCCTTCTTTTCTAAATGTGTACTTATTTGCTTGGCTGCTCCGGGCCTTAGCTGCGGCATGCAGGGTCTAGCTCCCTGAGCAGGGATTGAGCCCGAGCACCCTACATCGGGAGTGCAGTCTTATACACTGGACCAAAGGGGAAATCCCTCTACCACCTTCCTGAGACCAAAAGCATTCTAAAATCACATATTCTGCTAACAACACTGATGAATTTAGTATCAGAATTCTGTAACTATAAGCGCAAATGGTTTATAGGAAGGACAACCATATTTAGCCAGGAAAAAACTCAACAAGATGGATGGTTTACATAACAGATTCATTTCTCCTTTCAATTAAACCAAACAAATCACACAAATGGATAATTCAAATGGCTATTTTAGCAATTTCTCCCCACTCTGTGTGACTCTAATAATTCCCAGTGTTGAACAGATAGAATTTACCATAAGTCTGTAGATCAAAACTCAGATACCTCATTGACCAGCAACTTCATTCTTTACTCCTTTTATAGATATGCCACTAATCTTGGCTATTTCATATTAAAATAATATACTTCTACAGCGTACATACACATAAAAAATATGGGACTATGTTTTTCATAGTCTGACTCCTAAACCTTACCAGAAAAACGATAAGCTACCTTATGTATCAGAGAAATGATGGATTATGTTTCTGATACATAATGAAATTCTGTGCAGAAGAAATGATACAAAAATTGTGCATTTCTAAGAAAATGGATATAGGCACAAGGAAAAACAATAATTTAAAATCAAGCAAAAAATAAATATAAGATATGCTCAAAGGTGGACGTCAACAACTGAGTCAAGGACAGAAATCTCTCAGAATCAGAATCACGTTGGACTTGGAGGTCCACGTCGATCAGACAGAACGCTGGCAGTGGACCCGCAGACAGACAGACTGAGACAGTTCCACCACGGCCAGCACGGCTGCAGGGGGCCCTGCCAGAGAGCCAAGGGTGGGGTTTCTCTCTCAGGCTCCATCCAGTATTTTTGTTTGGCTCTGAAGCATCAAGGATTCACAGATTTTTTTTTTTAGATCACTTAATTTTCTTATTTTCAAGAAATATAACATTAGTTGTAAAAGAGCACACTTTTTCTCTGGAGTGTAAAGAAAATTTTGGTGACTTAAGTTCAAATAGAGAAGTCAGCATTAAATTCTCTTTCCCTTATTAGGTTACTCTTAACCCGAAAAATGAACACACATTCATAATATGAAATAATTTAGCATTCCATTCCACTATAAACTCTTAGAAAGCGGGTGTTTGTTTCACAGCTCTAACATCCTGGTGTTCGCATGGTTCTCGAGGCTCTGCCCGGGTCAGTTTTGGCCCCGAGCGGGAAACTGACGGCCAGGAAGCACGGCTCCCAGCAGAAGCGCGCGCTCAGCACGCCCTGAGCTCGCAGGGGAGCAGGCGGGCAGAGGCCCTTCTGGGCGACAACACAGCGCTGTTGTCTCTCAGCCCATAGCCTCTGCGTCTGCCTGCCGAGTTGCTAGCCCATCAGGCATGGGAGTTTGGGCCTGCGACTCTTTGGCAAATTCTTTCAGCAGGTGAGTCATCTGCCATTAGGCAAATTTCACATGACGAATCCTTAGAGTCATGAGGACAGGCCAGTGTTTCACCCCACTTAACACTGTGCATATCCCGCCTGGGAAGCTTACCTTCGGGTCACGAAGGAACAGAGCCTTAAGGATCAGTGAGTGAACGTCCCCGATGAGTGGGTAATGCATCAGAAGGCCAAGACAGGTCTGGTAGTTACTGGAGATCACTAAATAAAAGGGAAAAAGTAATTGAGAAGCGATCCAGTTTCAGGTATCTGTACCACTAAGAGAAACAAAATAACAACTTAGGTTCAAACAAAGTAAATCAGTAACTGAACTGAGTCGGATAAAGGGAAGGGGAGAAGGGATGGTTACCACACGGCCCGTGCCGTCCACACAATCCAGCGCACAGGCCACATCCTCGGGGCGGTGCTGGACGCAAGAGCCGGAGCTGTGTGTGTGTTTGCAACATAAACTAGGAGCATGCACTTTTATTGCCATATATATGGCTGTATTTAAATGTCTCTACTTCACTGCTTGGAAATTAGAAGCAAAAATCTTATGAATGGGAAAGAACCAGTTTAAAATTCTCATGAAATATTATTTACCATGATTATTATACTTTGCAACTTACACATGTCCCATTTATTTTCTGTATATATAAATATTACACAGTTCAAAATTAAAGAGAATATAACTTCTTCAAATTATTTATTTTTCTAAAGGTAACAAGGGATTTAGCAAAGATATCTATGCAGCATTTTCTTGGAGGAAGTGTCAAAATCTTCATGGAGAAGCCTATGTTCCTTAGACCGACATTTAGGCTTTTTCCCCCCAATCAACCTCATTACGGCCGCAATTGTTAAACAGTCTTTTCCGGCAGGTCTGTGTAAACTGCTCCATTTCCTGGCCACCCATCTGTCCCCGCTGTCCCCGCTGCGCCCATCAGCGATGCTGGTTTGGGAGCCAGGCGGACGGCCTCGGCAGCGCGACTGTGAGCAAACTTTACAGCTGCGACTTCCTGTGGTCGCAACTGAAGCCTTTGTGTTCATAAGAACGGTTAATGGTTAGTTGAAAAATATTCCACAGGAAAACAACTGTGATTCACTAGGAACAATACAAGTCACAAAATGATGTTTTATGATCAGAAATACCCTTGGTTCCTAGACTTCCTTTTTTTCTTCTTCTGTTGGAAACATCATTCCTTGCGACAGGGTCCCACCCCCTCCCCCTTTCCATGAACATTATGGTGAAAGGAGATAGGACCGGGCAAGATGAATAATTATAATCTATGGAAGGAACCACTTTATCATCTTCATTTCCATTGCTGATCTGACAGTTGGTAATTTCATACATCTGCTTTCATTTGTAAAGTGCTCACTTATCCAACTCTTTCTGTATCTGTTCAGACTCTTCTTTCCTTAGTTGTTCATTTTATCATATTCATACTCAGTTACCTGTTGTTTTTTACTGCAGAATTAAAAAACCTAGGATATTTAGAATAGTATAACATTCTCGTGTACAGTTTCCTTTGTGATCAAACAGATACATACAACTTGGATAATCAATTCATTTTATAACTCATATAAAGTCATTTTCCCAAATGCTGTAATGATTATATATTAGTCACTGACCCTAGAAGAATTCTTGTGTATTTTGTGAGACAGGCAGGGGAGTTTAGTGGAAATGGTTCTGGGCTCAGGATTCAAAGATGGGGCTCTCCTCCTGGGACTCCACTTGAAAACCTCCCATAACACTGCCTGGAGAGTAAATGACATAATCTAAGGGACTGATTTACAGCAGCTGCTCACAACTTGTTGGGAGCAACCTGTCTGAGCTCAAGTTTACTCATTCAGAAAACAACTTTCTGATTTGAAAGAAATTTACCTGCCTACCTCACTCATTCCAACAATCATTTGTTGAGTACCTCATACATGACTGGCCCTATGTTGGGAGGGGAAGCAGAGAGGAAGAAAATGCAGCCCTCACTCTGAAGAAAGTGGAAGCACAGAAGGGCTGATGTCTAACACAGGGAGTTGTTACTGTCGTCACCGCTAAGACAAGAGTGACCTGCTGAGGCTTTCTTCACTAGGCTCTGTACCCAAAACCTTACCTGCGTGTTTAATTCCTACGACAGTCTAACTACAAGGGTACAATTATTATCTCTGTTTTTACAGATGAGAAAACTGATCCTTGGAGATGTTAAATCACTTGTCTAGATCACACGGTGATTTGGTGCTGAACCAAGATTTGTATTCAGAAGTCTAGTGGAAGAGTCAGGGTTTTATTTTGAAAGGCCATGTTTTGAAAATCAAATGACACAACAGATGCAAACAATCATTGAAAACAGAGGAGTCAGCTAATATTAGTGCTCCTGTGAGCTGTGCTGCGCTCAGCCACGTCCGACCCCGTGACTCTACGGTCTGTAGCCCACCAGGCCTCTCTCCTCAGGATTCTCCAGGCAGAAACACTGGAGTGGGTAGTCTACCCCTTTTCCAGGGGATCTTCCCAACCCAGGTATCAAATTGGGGTCTCCCACGTCACAGGCGGATTCTTTACCAGCTGAGCTACCAGGGAAGCCCACAGTAAGTGTAAATGGCTTGGAAGATCAGCATAACATAGTCTGTAAAGCATTTTGACACAGGCACTCGTTTGGAGGAACCAGGGCAACAGTCCTATGTTATTACAACTTGAAAAACTTTTGAAACTATGAGAAGTTTTAAAATACATTTTACAAATACAAATACATTTTATAAAATAAGGATGCTAAATAATCTATTAACATTCTTTTTGTATAACAAATGAAGACACTAAGGCTCCTCCTCCCATTTCTCCCATCCACCCATCCACTCATCCATCTACTGAATGTAACAAACACTTCCCTCAGTTCAGTTCAGTTCAGTCGCTCAGTCGTGTCCAACTCTTTGCGACCCCGTGGACTGCAGCACACCAGGCCTCCCTGTCCATCACCAACTCCTGGAGTCCACCCAAACCCATGTTCATTGAGTCGGTGATGCCATCCAACCACCTCATCCTCTGTCGTCCCCTTCTCCTCCTGTCCTCAATCTTTCCCAGCATCAGGGTTTTTTCAAATGAGTCAATTCTTCGCATCAGGTGGCCAAAATATTGGGAGTTTCAGCTTCAGCATCAGTCCTTCCAATGAACACCCAGGACTGATCTCCTTTAGGATGCACTGGTTGGATCTCCTTGCAGTCCAAGGGACTCTCAAGAGTCTTCTCCAACACCACAGTTCAAAAGCA